AGCAAATTTTATGCAAGAGTGGGAAAAGTCAAGAAAACATTGAAAACAGAATTGCTGTCAATTCTGAGAATATGGAGACTGGGTAGTTACTTCCCAGGGTACAAGCTGTACCTGAAAAAATGTGTTTTGCACAGAATACATATTTTCAGTTTTGCCAGTAAAAATAACTTTCAACAATAACAAAGCCCAAATAAATAAGCAGCCAATGAAACAAAGCCCCCAAGTAATTAATTTGAGCTTTCTTCAACAAGAGAACCCACCAAAGACTGTATTTTCCTTCTAGTAAATTTCCAAGAAGCAGCTTTGTTCCAACACATAATATTTGCAGAAACTGTTCCTAAACCAGTTCTGATTAACAAGCAACAACAATAAATTCTAAAGAGTAAACATTATCCAAATATTTTCCACATATCCAACTTTTCCTTTAGGTAACGTAGTTTAACAGCTCCAAAGAAAAAGAAGAGACTGCTTTCATTCCTTAAAGCAGTCTCACTTTCATTGTAAGAAATGGATAAAGATACATACTGATAAACTGCAATACAGAAAGAAAGGGAATGAAACAAAACACTCAACTCAGAATTATTTTGATTCACTTCCCTTAATAATCATTTTTTTTTTTTTTTTAATTCTTAAAGCACAGCATTCAAAAGCTTTAAAAGCTGGTGCTGTAGCCAACAACCTCTTACATGAGTAAGTGTTGTGGTTTAACCTGACGGGCAGCTAGCCACCACACAGCCATTTGCTCACTTCCCATCTCTGCTCCCAGGTGCGATGGGGGAGAGAACTGGAGAAGAGGTGGAACTTGTGGGTTGAGATAAAGACAGTTTAGCAGGGCAGAAAAAGAAGGAAAAATAATAATAACAAAATAAAAGACTATACAAAATAAATGATGCACAATTGCTCACCACCCACTGACCAATGCCCAGCCACCCACCAGTCAACTCCCCCCCAGTTTTGTTGTTCAGCTTCTTGTGCACCCCTAACCTACTTGCTGGCATAGCAGTATGAGAAGTGGAAAAGTCCTTGACTCCATTCCAGCAGTGCTCAGCAACAACTAAAGCATCAGTGTGTTATCAACATTATTCTCATCCTAAATCCAAAACACTGACTTGTACCAGCTACTAGGAAGAAAATTAACTCTATCCCAGCCAAAACCAGAACTGTAAGTCTGCTAGCTCATATTCCTGAAGAATGCAGCACAGTTTGAAGAGGGAATCAGTATGAAAAGAAGGTACCTTTATTCGTTGTAATGCGGTTAATGACCTTCAATGACAGAACACGCACTGGGAACCTGACCAATCAGTCTGTTCTGAGGAGTCAGAGCACAAAAGGGAACTGGAATGACCTGCTTGAACTTGCTGGTACTGCTGAGATGGCCAAGCTTGCACTAGAACTAGACCATGTGTTTTTCCCATTGCGAACCACTGTGAGTCTGCAAAACAGACTTGGCAGAAATAAAAACAGTCACAAGTGACTGTGAGCATTACATCTGGTAAAATGCTACATAATTCTACAGTCCATGAGTAGAAACACCAAAGGACATATTAGGCATTAAAAAAACAGATGATCTGCCAAAGACTATCTGATGACTGCTACAGAATTTTAAAACTCTTTCCCTCTTCCTGTGAAAGTCATCTCATCTTGCACAAGTTCAGCTTCACCTAGTTTTCATACAGGCATTTACCTCCACTAATATGAAGAACAAGTTATTGTCTACTTTTGCTGGTAGTCAGCACCACAGCACCCTGAAATCTCTTATCCTTTCTTGATGACCTAATAGAATTAACTGAACTCCATCAACACGTGGAAGAAAACCATTAATGCTTCAATCTTCAGACAACACCGTAAGAACTACCACAATTCCACTCTCCTAAACCCTCTCAAAAGAAATTAAATGCTTTGAATGATTCTATTTCATATTATTTAATAGATGCATATATCAACTGTGCAGCTACATATAGCTAAAATAACCATAGTTAATTACTGTGTTTAATGAAGCTAGATGTCAGCTACACAACTCAAAGATTCCCCATCTGTTTTGCAACTGCAGAATACATGACACCAATGTGAGTACCACAGCACCAAGTTTCTGAAGCCCAGGTATAGTTTTAAATTAAAGTTACTGGTGGTGAAAAAGCATGTAGTAATAGCCTAATTTTTTTTTAGGAGGGCCACATCTTTCACACCTTGAGCCAGACTTTATTGATACAGATACCACTTCAGAACTGTGGCATTTCCTAAGCTTATGATGAACTGCAGGGTGTTCTTTGCAACAGGGGTGGTAGGCACAAGAAGATCTATTTAAAAAAGGCTGTAAGTGTTTCTGGTTATCCTTCATTTGCCATGAAGAGCACAAGAACCTGAATATGTTGTCTTACAGATGTTAAAACACATACAATTTTTATTTTGTAATAATTTACTACCTTTAGCATCAATTCTGTGCAACTGTCAACCAATTCTTGGGAACACATATGTGCATCATTTTGACAGTTCTGACTTGCTTTATTTCATCTGAGCACAACAGCCGATCTTCTCTAATAACAGTATTACTATCTCTTCACAGAGAGCTTAGTTCAGAGATGATGTCAAGACAGTCCAGCCTGATAAGGTACCTCATGATCCATGGAAAAGATCTCTGAAGCAGAAAATAGATACTGCAGTTGACAAGAGAGAAAAAAAAAAAAAAAAAAGAGGTTTTAATTCCAAAGACACATTACAAAAACTCTAGATTAAGGGAAGTAATATTAAGTTTGTCTATCAGATCCCCACAAGTCTTAAAGTACTCAAAGGAATGGGTCCATGCTGTAACAGCATTCATGGAAGCTGCTGTATGTGATTACAGAATTACCAGTAACTTCCAAAGAACATAGAGGGACCATGCCAGTAACAACTCTGCACTGCAGGTCCAACTTCAGTGGAGGTCTCTGAAGGCAGCCTTATCATCATGTTGCACAGTGCTTATTACATGCTTATCAAAGAGACTTGTGTGATGGGCAGAGCTAGGGTTTAAAAGTCCCTTTATGTCACTGTTAAATGCTAGGGATGAGACCCACACTGCAGAACTCTGGAGTTCTCTTTTTTTAGAAAGTAGCAACACTTACTTATAAAGAACTGTTTAGAAACACCAGCTATATATAGTGTAGACTATCTAGACTTGGAAGCCATTTATCTCAAAAAGAAAAAAAAGGAATTAAAAGACTCATCAACAATGGCTTCACTGTGAATGAACTGAGCATAAATAGATTTAACTGAATATGAATAAAACCAACTAGTGTAGCATTAAGAAAATGGTAAAAGTTTCTAAACGATTTTTCTTAGAGTAGTATAGTGTGAGTCAATAACTCCACTGCTATGATGAAAAATAATCATGTCATTTTCCAAAAGTTAAGTTTCTTAAAATGTTTCACATCTACTTTCAGTCTTAAAGTATTTTTGAGAAGCCTCTTAAACCCTGTATTCAGCTGTTTTACCGTCATCCAGCCTATTCAAATAAGACAGACTAAATAAGACAGACTTCTCCCCAACCCCCCAGCTTTTACTGCATCTCCACATCTCAGATAGATGTTTACCTTTAGGAAACACCACATTTGTTCATTTAATAATCATCAAGATTCTTTTAATTAGATCACTTTAAAGAGAGCATCAATGGCGCCAATTTATTTGTGCTAAACTTGCAATGAAACCCAACTGTCTGGAAAAAGACTAACTGGAAAAGAACTGAAATTAAGCTCTGAAAATTTGGACATTTAACTAGCCCCATTATAAGCATCTACTAATCACTGTGGGTGGAGCAGCACAGCTGCTTTGGTTGTAACAGCATTTCAAAAGTGCTCCTAGATGGAGGTAGCTTCTTTTCTAATAAAGATGCATTCTTCTATTTCTTGGCCAGCTAATATTACCTAGGTAGAGCCAGACCTCCTACAAACCTTGGAAGGCTTGTAACAGAAAAGAACCTCAAGATAACAGCCTACTTCCAATCTATGTTTCTTCACGCTCTTCCTAGCACAAATACATAAATAAACGTCCTTTGTTTGGAAGAAGGAAGAAAGGTACAAGGAGAAAGTTTCTATCTCCCTATATAGCTAAACAAAGCCAGAAAAGAACCAACCTGACGTAATGGTTTCAAGTGCAAAAACTTTCAGACAAAGGGATAAAACCTGCCTACCTGCCTCCAGAAGTATGCGTCACCACAGTGACACTGCCATCGTTGCCTACAGCCACTGAAAATTATAACCTGCCCCAACAGACTACTGCTCTGCTTTCACGGTCTTCAGCTTTTACTTTCACATGCAATACATTTTATTTTAGTACCATTTCACTGAAGTGATTCTTTTCACAAGGCAGCCCTTGACACACTGTTATCTGAAAGCTTAAGCAATCCTAACCCCTTAGGTTAGGTATAAAAAAGCAGCAAGGTCTAGAGCTTTCAGGCACGCTCCCTGTACCAGAAACGCTTATTTCTGATGATCAGCGTGCACTTACACATTACATATAAAAGAGATGTGTCAGCTTATTCCTAGGACGAATATCCCTGGACAGATATACCCGGTCACGAGCCACTGCCGCCTCCCGCCTCGCCTCTTGGGGCCGGCAGACCGTGTAGCCAGACACACCGGTAGGAAGAAAACAACGGCTCGCCCCTTAATGTTGCCACCGCCGACGCGCAAACCGTTGCCCAGGGACTCGCCACCCCAGCAGACAACGGGCAGCCATGCACACACGACCGCCTAAGAAGCACCAGCACCGCTCCCTCCCCACCGGTGGGGTCGATACCCGGTCGCGGTAAGCGCCCGCCGCCGTAGCATGAGGGGTCATAGCACGACCGGAGGCCGCGGTGTGAGGCGGGCGGAGTTGCAGCACCGGCTCCCGCCGCCTCGCCTTCCCACCATCCGCTCCCGGCCAGACGGCGCACACCTCGCCTCGGAGGGTCGCGGAGCGCCGGGCAGGCTCCTCCGTGCCTCCCTGTGGGCGGGGAGCGGCGGGCACCAAGCAGCACTTACCCTCTGCGCGGGAGCGGATCTCGGACACCGTTTTCTGCACCGCCGGCATCGCCGCCGGGCGGGGGGTTGTGGGGCGGCCGCCCGCACCTCCTGCACCTGCCGCACGCCGGAGAGCGCCCCGCGCTGCGGAGGGGCCCGGGACGAGGGCGGCGGGTACCGGCAGCGGCGGGTCCCGGCAGCGGCGGATCCGCGCCCCAGCTGCGCCTCCCTCCGCCGGCGGCGCCGCTCCTCAGTGACAGCTGCGTCGCCAGCCCTCAGCGCCCGCCTGCCCCCTCCGGAACCTACCAACTCCGCCCCCCACACGCCTCCTCGTCCCTTCACCATCTCCCGTGCGCACTGGCTCGGCCTTGTGGGGCCGTTGCGCCGAACCGGGCACCGGCACTGCGAGCGGTTTATGTCCCTTTCCAGAGCGAGTAAGGGGTATCCAATGTGCCCCTCACCCCGTGTCGCGGGGGAAATGGAACGTGCCGAGCACAGAGCCACTGCCCGGCGCTAGGAGAGGGCGGGGGCCGCTTCGAGAAGGCACGGCTGCCGACTCCGGCAGAGCTCGGCCTCGGCGGGGCGGGAAGCGGTGGGGCGCCGGGCGGGGCGAGGTGGGCTGGTAGGGGCGGCGATGCTTGTCAGGGCGGCTGGGGCAGAGAGCGGCCGGGTTGCGGAGGTCGGAGAAGGGAGGGGAGCGGCGAGCAGCAGGCTGGGCCGGGGAGTGTGCAGAGCTGCCCAGCCTTGTAATCTGCGGGGCGGACTCCTCCGTTCTTTGATCTCTTCCATAGTTTAGCGAGGTGTAGATGAAACGGAGGGGAGCGGTGGGGCAACTTGAAACATTGGTCTAAGTCCCTCATTCAGGGGGAGAGGGTCGGAGCCGCTCTCCGTCTGACAGGCAGCTTTCAAACTGTTGCCCAGCTTTTTATTTTTAACCTCTCCTTAGTCGGAGTGCCGCAGTTTGACAGCCTGAGTCAGAGTGAAGCCCAGCTCTCCTCCTGTGTGGGCTGGTAGAGAGGAGGTCCCAGTTGCAGGCGCGTCGGGCTGAAGCAGGGGCGGCAGTTCTGTTTCCAGGCTGTTATGCGTGACACTCGGGCGACTGCAACAGGCTGAGCAATCTTGTCCTTATGTCTCGATCAAAACAGCCACCGTACAAACGGGATGGAGAGGAAAATAGGAAAGGTGATAGGATTTAGAGGTAGGTTGTCTTGGCGTAATTGTGTTTTGCATCCATTTCAGTCAGGCGTAAAGCATACTGACTGCCGAGAGGACGAAAGAGGGTGTGGAATAGAATAAAGCTACTATTGTCTTACGAATGTTGAGAGGATTTGAGGCATACGTTCGCTAAAGGCCACTGTTGTCCCCCACAGAAAATACGGAGATTACGGGTGTGAGATTGCTGCTGGTTTCTTTACAGACCATACATATGAATGTAGTATTAACAGGAGCAGAGTCTGCCTTTTTGTTTGATAAAATTGCATAAATTTAATTTGTGTATATTGATCAAGCAGCACTTTATTCGTGGAGAAAAAAGTGACCCAAGAATATATTTTTCTTAAATGCCAAGCTCAGATACCAGGGAAGAGGAAAACTTCGCTTCACAGAAGACTGCATTGGGAAATAAATGCAGGGTTTTTTAAAAAGCCATGGGTCAGAAAACCTGCTGGATACTCCTTTTCAAAAGGGAATGCTCTTCTGCATCATCCTGTGCAGCAATCTGTGTGGGTTGTTTGTGTTCTTTGTGTTGGGTTTTTGTGTTTGTGGTTTTTTTTTCTGAACCAGAAACAAAGATTGTCGAAACAACTATCTTTAATGCTTTTTTACTGGAAAACCAAAATGCATGGAAAGAACATGCACTGCTCATCTAGTTTTAATAAACACTCGGTGTAGGTCACAAGGCCATGGACAGATGCTTGGCCAATGCAAGTTATGTTCTGTGAGAAACAGCTTTTAGTTTTCTGTTGAGATTCCATTGAAGCCTGACTGAAGCAGTCATTTTGGAGACTCAGCATATATATAACCCTCCCAGCATAAATAGGGCCCTTTTGTGAAAAGGGATCTTGTGTGGGTCTGGTTTTTTTTTTATGCAATTCATAGCAGCTACACTACTGTTAAAAGGCTGCAGCCAGACTGTGAAACCCTACAAATTTATATACATGCCAGTCAACATGCATTTTCCCCTGAATCACTGCAATGCTGGTGACAAATAGGATTGTCATTTAAATACACTTTTAAATCACATTTTATGTCTAAAGCGTGGTTTTTTGGCTCTAAGATCCCTGGCAAATAGTGGTTATTGATGATATCTTTAGGCAACTGGAAATTTACCCACTTAAGTACAGAAGATACTAAACCAGTGTTGCCAAGTGCTATTTAAAATTGTGAATAGTTGCTTTAGAAACTGTTTGCATCACAAAGTAGCACAGCAGCAAAACTGGTAGCTTTATTTGTGGTAAACTTTTGTGTACTCTGAGTTATCGTGAATGCTTAATACCCAATTATTTTCTTTTTTAAATAAGAGCCTTTATTAATTTATAGTCTGAATACTGATTGAAAAGAAATAAGGAATAAGGTTCTATTAAATCTTACCATCACTTAAGAACGTCTCCAGTTTCCCGGTTTTCATTCTACAAAGCCTCAATGGTAAGCTAAAAAGTTTAACCATTAGTTGCACAACAAAGAGTTAATCCAGTTGTCATCCAAATGTTGGAAACTCCACTACATCTCGTAACAATGCCCTCCACCTTCAGTGTTATGCCAGAAGCCCAGTAGCTTCTATCTTCTCCTCCTTCCCCCTACGAGATCTGCCAGCAGAACCGACTGGCCCTTGTATTTATTTCTTTTCTTTGGTAACCAAGTGTACGAGCTCCATCCCTTCACTTCTGTGCTAAATACAGATTGTGTCACTGAAGCAGTTTCCATTTCTGCACACCACCAGTCTTGTTTTGCTATAAACAGGTCAGAAAAGGCTTCTGCAGTTTTTCTTAGCTGAGAGTATGCACAGTTTATACACTTGGGAGTATGGTCTGTATTTAGGGAATCCAATATTTGTTTCTGGATCATCACTTGTTGAAATGGTGAGCTAGTAAAAGAAAATTATTAAAGGCCTTGGTTACAAGCCTGTTTATATGTCAAAGATATCCCATATACTATTACATTGTTTTATAGGTTAGAGCAAGGCAGTCTATGATGAGGCCGTATTATCTCCCTAGTTAATCTCTAATGGCTTTCAGTGGTATAGAGTACGTAACCCAACTAAAATCTGTTCTTGCAAATCATATAAACGCTTATTTGATTGGAACTTTAAAGAGAGAAGTTTCCATTATTTCTGATATACCAACTGTCTACTGTAGCAGCCTTCCAGAGAAGGAAATACTCTCTTTAACATGAATGCTTGTATAAACAGGGAAAACGAGCTCTGCAGGCTTGAATTTTTCACAAACTTGACATATATAAATATTTGCTCTATATTTTTCCTGTAATGCTATTAATGTATATGAAGTGGTGGGATCTTTCTTTGTGATATATGGCAAAAAACAGGTTGCCTGGTTACATGCAATAGTGGAAGGGAAAATTAATACTAACTGTTGCTTCTTTTCGAGAGTTGTCTGGAAAGGATTTCTGGCTTATGCCTTTTTCTGCTTCGTAAGATACTGCAGCAACTGGAGGCTGTGCAGTTAAACTCTCATTCTGATACCTTTGTATTTGAATATATTAAATATTCCCATAGCATGGGAAGTTCTTAATGAAATTGTATAAATAGCTACATCTAAAATTTAAAAAGGTACAGGGAAGGAACCATTTTAGCTCACATGGGTCTAATTTTCCTATCAGCTAGAAGTCTATGTATGGTATTGCTGGAGACTAAAACAGCAATGTGCTCAAAAGAGCAAAAGCACATTCTTGATTTCTTGACCTTCTTTGACCCTCTGAAAGAATAATGCAGGCTTTGTGTACTGATTTTAAAATCCATTATGTGTATATCTAAGCATAAGCTTCTTCTGTCTACGCTATGAGCAGAACAGATAAAGTGCTTTGAAATTCTACTGGAAGCCATTAAAATGGTGAAAAGAAATTTTATTTAAGAAATTATATGTTCAGTCATTGATATTTTCTGAACTTCAAAATCTCTCAGGTTTGTTTAATCTTCTCAGATAAATATATCTCTAAAGTAAGTTTATTTAAATTATTTGGCATTTCTCAGCTGATATTTCAAATACTCCCAGTGAATTTCTGTGTGATTTAACAGGAACGAAAGAATCTTTTGTTTTCTCAAGTGTGACATCAAATACATCAACTAGCCTATACTCTATAAGGAAGCAAAGTCTATCCAATGTTCACATAAACTTACCAGTATCTCACTGCAAGATATGAAGAATTAATTTGTCTTCTGCTTGCTATTGTTTATGTAATGGTACTTTGCTCTTAACTGTTCTGTACCCCATCCCTTGGGCTTAAAAATATATCACCTCTGGAAACAGGCTGTGAAGTTTTCATTATAGAATGTGTTTGATCTTTACAAACCAGTGTAAATTTATATTGTGTGTATCCTTTGTGATTATGAAAGACAAAATTTCTCCTTCCCTGAGGCAAGACAAATTAATAAAAGAAACCTCAAACCCCGTAAGTGGATGTTTAGACATATAGAACATACCACAAAACACATCAGATAATTTAACCTTTAGGCTGATTTATAGAAACTCTAGCATGTGTTCCTGTTATTCTCTCACTCAGTTGTTGTAGCAGTGTCTGAGTGCATAAGAAAAGCATAGGAAAGCAAAAAAACCCAGAGAAACAAAGCAGATCCAGGGTGTAACAAACAGATGATACATCCATATATCCTTTCTTTGTAGACCCAGATCTACACCTGAGCCTAGATGTCCTTTACTCAAATTTCCTTTATACACTGTTAGATTCACATTCGGGGCACTGGAGGAAAAAGACTTAGGGATACATAGTTCCTTAGCACAGACCTAAACTCGCAGTTGTTTGGCAGTGGAAATCTGCAAGGGCAAGTTCTCTAATGTGCATCCTGTAACACCATGTGTTACAAGACCTAGGTGTTCTGTTACAACAGCCCACATCAGGTAGGCTAGTTCCTAAAAATATACAATCTCACATGCTAAAAGGAACTGTGGTAGTTGGAAGCAGCTAACCTACAGATATGTTCACAATGGTGCAATGTAGTTACAGTCAGTTCTTGTTCTGTTTTGTGATTTGGCCTTGAAAATACTGTACAGATAGTATTAAATGTGCAATCAGGAACATTCATTCTGGTCAACAAAAGTGGATGTATCAATATTTCTTCAAATCCACCTCACTATCCTTTTCTGAGAAATATCTTGGGTTTTTTTTTACATGTGGAGAGAAGGGAAGTTATTCTTTTATCTTTTCCTGAAATAGGCTTTCCCATAATTCAATTTGCACATAAGAA